GCACGTTCTTAACAACTAAAGAAATGTATGTAAATAAGCATGCCAAAACCATGTAGCTGTAGTATAATTTGTACAAAATTTATCAATTTGTGCAAATACCATTTTTTAAGGGAATCACAGTCCATCTTATGCATGGAAGTCTACCAAAAAGAACCCAATTTGGCCCAACAACAATTGGAAGTAGGTAAGAAATCTGTCAAACAACCTAGATGCAATTATTTCAGTACATCCCTAAATTTGTAGCAGAGATTCAGCTTCTCAAAGTCACAGGACTGTCCACAGCCTCCAGAAGGGGGAACTCTGATACTCTACCAGGACCATAGGATTGTACCCAAAAGGTTTTAATAGCTTCCAATGGCAATGGTTTTTCAGAGATATAAAGGATGTTTTTCCTTGCAATGTTATTATCCATCTCAGCTAATAAAGTCATGTAGCTTGTCTCTACTCACTTCACAGTTCCTCCAAAACATTTTCATTCAATCTTTATTCTCAATTTTCACCAATTTGCAAAAGATAAATTACAAAAAAACACACCATTAAAATAATATAAAAACATTGGTGATTAAATTATTAAAAATGGTGAAAAAACATGTAAGGCACAAAATGTCATTTTGTATAGTTAATTTTCTTTTAACTTTTGCACCAAATAGTGAATATGCTTACTGAAAATCTTTGAATTGCAAATTGTCTATAATTAAACAATTTCCTCATTTCTGACCAATATTATTTCCAGATTATTTCAAAGATGGAGCCACTCTCCTGGGCCATCTTTTCTTTAGTATTTCATATTTTCTTTCATTCCTAATATTTAGATTTCATATGGTAAATCATGTTTGCCACCTGCAAGAAATTAAAATGTCATCTTCCCCACTTTCTCCAGAGGTACCTATGTAGGGCAAGATGCCAAATGGAGTGATCATTGGTCCAGTCCAGAAGACCTCTTTATCTTCTGATCTTCCTAAAATGTGTCTGAAGTGTCAGATCTCATTTAAACAAAATTCCAAAAATCTCAGATTTATTTGCACAATAATGTACTTTCCCCTCCCCTATTGCTAAAGATTCCTTCCATATTTTCATAACGTAATACTGTAATTCAGCCATCATGCTGCATCGGGGCAGCTATTTCAACAAAGTACAGGAATTGTGCTGAGTACTATAAGAAACTAAATGATTTTCCTGCCTGTCCCCAAATAGCACACAAATAAAACTATAAAGATGATGTCTATAGGGGAAAAGAATGCATTGGAATTTGGTTAGGATTAAAGGCCTGATCCCATACCATGGGAATGAATATGGAGAAAAATCCCTGACTTCAGTTGACCCCTGAATTAGGTGCTAATAGCCTTCTATCTTATGAAAAATTCTATGGGGTGCTTTCTGGGTGTGTTGGCAGTTCACACTAAAAGGATTTTCTGCAGTGGATTACACCTCCCATTGTGGCAAGCCCTTTGTATTGTTTCAAACTGGAAAGAATTTGCTGAGCTACTGAGGACTGAAAAAACAGCCAATGAAAGTGCATACCTGCACATTTCTGCTATTAGCCTCCACCCTCTTAAACATATTTGACTTGCAACACATATGGATGTGTAATTCTGCCTAAGCCTAAAAGAGATTTTTAGTAATACTTCTTAATTTTCTGGTTTGAATGCAGTGGATATTTTCAAATTTAAAAAGCAGTAACAAAGAGTCATGTTGGTTCATCGGAAGAAACTACAAATTCCACAATACCTTTACTAAGACTGGTTGCCATTGTCATCAATTGAATATTATTCTCTTGCTGCTCCTAATAAAAACTTTGCCAATCTATGCATTTTGTAGCACTAGATGTTATACACCTTCAAAACAGACTTCTAAACAAACTTGTATTTATTTGGAGATTATAGACAAACTAGTGGGTTTTGTCCCAGAATATATTTGTTGGTTCACTACATTATTTTTTTTAATTTATCAATTTATATCCTGCCTTTTTTCCTACAAAGGGCTCAAGGCAGCTTACATCTCCTCCTCCATCTTATCCCCACAACAACAACCCTGTGAGGTAGGTTGGGCTGAGTGTCTGTGACTGGCCCAAAGTCACCCAGTTGGCTCCATGGCCGAGCAGGGACTACAACCCAGATCGCCTGAGTCCCAGTCTCATGCTCTTAACCACTACACCACACTGGCTCTCAGTTACTGGCAAACTTCCAGAGAATCCAATTTTTTGAAGACTGCACTGACCTGGATCTTTGTCAGCAAGGCCTTCTTGTTATCTCCGCATTGTGGTTTAGAATAAAGGCAAGTGATTGCCCAGGATATATCTACCTGGTTTCATTCTGCAGTGACCCTATAAAGCATCAGCTACTCAAAATCACTAAGAAGTAGTGCCTAGGAGAGCAGATAAGACCGTACAGTGTACTTGATAGAGGCTGCTACCAGTGCTTCTGTGCTGCACATATGTACCAAGCAGAAAGCATAAGATGTCATACAGGAGTACCTTTAGTACCAAATTAAACATGCGCAATATTTTTCTCAGACTTGGCTAGAAGTTATCTAAATTAGAACAAAACTGGTATTTCCATCAAATTACAGTATTGGTTATTTTACCATTAAGCTCAACAGGGCATGACTATAACTACCAGCAGTAATGCAATATACAATGCATAACAATGTTTCCTCCACCCTATTTATGTTACATGTATAACCCACCTCTCTTCCATTATGAAACTCAAGGTGAAATGTGATTCCAAGATGGCCTCCCCTCCAGGTACCGAGCAGGTGCAGGTCTGTTTAAGTTCAGCATGGTGGCAGCCCCAGGTATCTTCAGGCCATGTCCTAGGACTTTGTGATGTGAGTTTAGCTCACATGCCTTCTGAAACTGGGGAATGCAATGCTGAGGAATCTTCTGAGTCCTTGTACTGGCTTTTCCCTTGTGGCTGGTGCTTCCAATCTTATCCAAGTGGTCTCAAAAGGTGCCACAATGGATGTGGAAAGGAAGAGGATGAGGATCCTCAGGCCCAGGGGTCAAATCTGGCTGTTCTGGGTTCCCTTGGGCTCTTCTTTTCCTCAAAACTGTTGTGCAGTTTTAAAGGTTTAAAATGCCTCTCTTGGGGCTTCCCTATTGGCAATAAGAACCTTAAACAAGGTGATACAACAACAAGCTGTTTAAATGCAAGAGCTTTTGTATTTGTGGTACTACCTCTTTTTTCATCTCTGCGCACCACTGGAATCAATCCACTTCATCCCCCATTTCTCATGCCTCTCCAAAATTTGACCCTCAGGGAGAACAAGACCCCCGCTGGATCAGCCCATCGTATCCAAATACTGTAGTAAGGTAGCTATGGATTAATCTGTCCCATTTTTGAAGAAATCTGTGGCGTTTGGAAGTAGCTCATCAAAACATAGATCAAATGAAATTCTCACTCATCTGCGCTGGTAAATTCAGTAGGTATGACTATTCCCAGCATGAAGAGGATCATGTTGTGGCTGTTAAAGACGAAACCCTATTTGAAAAAAGAGGTGGCAAACCTAATTCAGTAGTACAAATATGGATGAATACACAGGGATTCAAACCCAATTTTTTAAGAGCAAAGCACTCAAAGACCTCTGCTTGGATAACCAAATTTGTCAGTTTCACTTGCTCCCACATTTTATCTTTTTAAAAAATCACAAGTTCTTTCCATTCTCTCCATGAAGAAATTTGCATCTTCTCCTATGTTCTTATGGTGGGGCGGAGCGAACCAACCATCCAATATTTTCACATCTCCCCACTTTATACATGGAGCATAAGAAAAATATCAGTGATGTATGGACCAGCTCAAATTTTTAACAGTTGCTCCAAGCAATGTGTTCCATCCATCCCTGGGGATACATTTATGGAGAGAAACAAAGGTATAACCCAGTTTCATGCCAGACTTCCAAATGATTTTTGATTATTTCTATGAAGCCGTAACTGTACCTGTGGAGCAGCCAGAGTTCACACATTAGGTTTTCAGTGTCTAATGGCCATGTCTTATTACATGAATAAAATGTGAAGTGCTTGAACTGCACTGGGGCTGTGGTGGGGGAAAAGAGGTAAGCCACATTTCCTTTCATAAGGAAATACTGCAACTCCCGACTTTCCTTAGTCAATTGCTGTTTGATCCAGTAGTGCAGGTAAAACTGGATGTTTGGGCCAAAATCTAGGGACCCTCAACTAGATGGGCCCCATAGGACCACCTGGAGAGCAGCAGGTGATGCGGGCAGCAGAAACAAACTCATTTTATTCCTGTAGTCATGGTCATGCAGTTTTAGTGAGTTTAATATAAAAAAATCTTTTTTAAAAAGATCATGTTTGCTAAGCAGTAGTGCTGGAGTAACTTATTAGCAATGTTAGCTGGAAAGCATTAATAGCAGTTGTTGGGGGAAAGAAAAATGTCGTATATTCCACTACTGAAGTATCACATGGCTGTCTGAATTTCCCTTCCATAAGTCTATTAAGGCCAGGGTCTAAAATTATCTAGCAGCACTCCTGGTAATATTTTCTTTAATCATGCTAATTTCCAGTTGCCCTTTTTGTGAGGCAAAATACTTAATTTCAAGGCCAGCAAGGGAAGGAGAACCAAGATTGTTGCACCAAAGGCTAAAATGGAAGAAGGAAGGAAGGAAGGAAGGAAGGAAGGAAGGAAGGAAGATCCAAGCTATCACTTCATCACTATAATTAGTTAAATAATCAAATGATGAAATACACTTTCCATATCCCCAGAGAAAAGATGAACATAAAACTTGGTGTGATCAGAATTGCTAAAATTGCTTTTCTCATTGCTTTAGGGGGGGGTTCCCCTCTTGGTTTTTAATGTAGTGCATTTACCTTATAGTAGTGATGCATCTGAATTTCAAAATTTCTTTAAATGGCTAACACTGGTTCAGTTTCAGGGCAAACAAGGGCTGACAAGGCAGTTAGCTTTTACAGCACAATTCTAGCCAAAAACATTGATAAGAAAATTAAAATGACTGGTTTAGCACTTTGTTTAAGACATCTGAGATATATTATGTATGTGGCTTGTGCAAGACTGCTCAAGCCATTACTCTCATACAGTCAGATCATCTGACCTGGCCCGACTACTTGCTTTGCTTAACCTGCTAAGGGGTCTTGTGTCAACTGCAAGATCAGAAGATGGTAGGGGCAAGTCCTCTCCTGGTGGTTGTAGCTCATGTTCTTCCTCCCCATGCTTCTCTTCAACTTTTTCCTCCACTTTCTCTGTCAGCTCTTCCATCCTCGGTTCCAGTGCCTGTTCTTCCACTTCCTGTTCTGGCTCCTCTCCCACTTCCATTTTTTCTTCAATATGTTCATCCACGTGGGCATAGGATGGCAACTGCTCATCAAAAGCTCTAGAGAGGTCTTTCAGGTTTTCTATGCTGATCTTCTCCTCAAACTCGTTAAATGAGGGTGGGACAGGTGTAGTTTCTACTCCTACTTCTGTCAAAGGGAAGTAATGGAATGCTGGCTTCTCTTCTTCCAGCAGCTTGTAGCCTTTGACTTTTTGGATGGATGAAACAGCAATTGAATGAAGGGGCTTCTCTGGGGTCTCTGCAGGCTGTTGTTCTGATGATCTCTTGAAAGCACTCAGTATTTTTTTAAGGCCCAAGTGGCTGACTTCCACAAGGTTGAGAAAGAGTGATACTGATGCCACCGCCAACATAAACATGATGAAAACAGTCTTTTCAGTAGGCCTTGACACAAAACAATCCACAAGGTTGGGGCAGGGCCACCTGCCACAGCGGTAAAGAGGAAAAATTCGGAAACCATACAGGAAGTACTGGCCCACAATGAAGCCCACCTCAAAGAGGGTTTTGAAAAAGATGTGACAGATGTAGGTTCTGAGAAGCGTTCCCTCAAGACGGAACTTCTTGGTTGCCTTGGGTCTTGTCTCTTTGGAGGATATAGGGTTCTTCTTGTCTGCATCTTGGGGTGAGTTTTCTTCACCTGCTTCAGCTTGCTGAGCTTGCTCTGCCTCTTCCCGTTCTCTCCTTTTCTCTTCCATCCTTACATGGTGTACAGCATGGCCCAAATAAACCAGGGAGGGTGTGGAGACAAAGATGATCTGCAGGACCCACAGCCGGATGTGGGAGATGGGGAAAGCTTCATCATAGCAGACATTCTCGCAACCTGGCTGCTGGGTATTGCACACAAAGTCTGACTGCTCATCTCCCCATACAAATTCTGCAGCTGTCCCTAAGATCAGGATTCGGAAAATGAAGAGTACTGTTAGCCAGACTCTTCCAATGACAGTGGAGTGTTCATTTACCTCTTCTAAAATGTTTCCCAGGAAACTCCAGTCACCCATTTCTGGCTGTTTAAAAGAAATATAATGATTCAGTTACATAATAATAGAAAGGTTTAACTATATTCTTCACATGGCTCATTTACCATTGACTTTTCAAAACTTCCACATTTTCCCCCTCAGTCTACACAAATATGTTTTGTACAATTCCAGAGTTCATCACTGGAGATCTGGTCAATTATGGACTTCCATATTCCATGGAAGTCAATAGTATAAATTGCATTTACCTCAGTGATTCTGTGTTGTACTCTTTTTAATCCTGAGACAAATGCTGCAGGCAAATAGTATCCTCAAGGAAGCACCTGGTGTGAAGCTACGTAGTTTCCCAGTAGCTACTGAAAAATTCTGAAACTGCATCCAGAATTGTTCCCACTTAAGGGATTACTTCCACAACCATTACAACAGCTAAGTCCGTTGTTAACAGTTAAGACGACTACAGTGTGCCACAGGAGTGCCTCCAGGGCACATGCAAAGGGGAAAATCTGCTCCCTTGCAGCAGTGTTGGGAACCCTTTAAGGGGCCCGATGAGCTTCTGTCTGATTATAAGGATCCTATAAAGCTGTGTGAATCCTAACCATGTGTTGTTTAGAAGTTTGCTATTGCAACACTGCCTGAAACCACAGTGATTTGCCAGTATATATTTAAATATGTTTTTACACTTCATTGCACATGCAATTTGAAAAGCCAGGCAAGTTTTTATTTTATATACATTTATATGTATTCTCAATGTTTTCTCTGTACATTATCAATATGTCTTTAAACATATTGTTCAAACACATTCACATACACTCCTCTTTCAGCAATTCCCACCTTAAGCCATTCATTCACAATGCCAATTCAGCTGACAATTCATAATCAAATGACAGTAGAAACTAACCAATATTTCTTATTTTCCCCTATAATCTATCATAAAACAATCTGAAAGCAATTGACTGTCTGTTTTATATTGAGTAACCAATATATCCACACAGCACAAATCTTATGCCTGTAGTTCAGGAAAACAAAGAATCCATGGTTTGTATAGTTTACTGTAAATCTTCATTATGCAACTTTCTAAACTCAAAATGCACTCTGTACTAGGATCACAACATTCAGAAATATTTATTCTACCTCATCTTGAAGAGCCTCTGTTACGATGAGTGAGATAAAGTATTTTCTATAGGATGTTTTCAATAAATTTCTTGCCTGCTTGCTGAAAAAATCCTATGCTGGCAAGGCTGGCTCTAATATCTATGACTGATCCAGTATCTAGACATGCAAATCTGTCACTCCAGAAACAAAGCAGACTAAGCTTTCCAGTGCATTGTTCTTCAGAGTCTTTTGAGTGGCTAAGAATCTAAGGATGTCTCTGAAGAACCAGATGCTTTCTCCAAAGTCCACACTTCCTCCCTGCAATGGCCTTCACTGGGGATGGAGCTTCACTAGTCCTAATGAAAGTCAGTGAGATTTGTGAATAAATATAAATGAAAACTGCCCAACTTGCTTCTCCTAAATCAGGCAATGTAAAATCAGATAGCTTCCCCCTGACCAGATGTAGTACCGATACAGAGACAAACCCATTTGAAACAATGCTGTGGCTGTTGCTAGCAACATGGTCCAAATGTTGGATGCATGCTGGTAAAATGGCCATAGCACCAAGATTCTTATAGGTTTGTCTCTGAAGCAGCATACAGAAAGAAGGAGAGCTGGAAAAAGGGCATACAAAGCAGTTGACATATACCAATTTCTGTCATTTCAACCACCTAGGAGGAAAAGAAAATGTATATAAATCAATGCCATCAAGCAAGCAACTTGCCACAGTGAAAGGATCCGCTGAAGATAAGCACTTCCCTCGTCGCTTGGTGCTCCCCAACAAAAAAGTTAACTTTGGCTTCTCCCTGCTCTAAAAGTCCCAACCTTGTCGCACGACTGAGCAGATGTGACTGGATCAGCACTGATGGGTGGGCTTTAGTTGGCCTGCAGTATATAAGCTTCAAGCCAGACATCTTTAGAAAGTAAATGACATTTGGTGACACGGAGAACAATAGCAGGAAAAGACAAAAAAGTGGGAGATGCATAATGGGGGGAATAGTATATGTGTGCTGAATAGGAGCAAAGTGAACTAGCAATGGGCAGCAGGCAATGGTAATGTCATGCAGGCAAAGTTGCTATTTGGAGAGCCAAGTGTACATGAAAATGCCCAGCTTGTGTACTTATATATGCATGGAACCCTCTTATCTGTTCAACATTGTTACAGTGGATTAAGGCCCATAAAAATGACTCACCTATATTGTCCACTTGGGAAATGGTAGAGATCCTGAAAGACTGTACAGACCATAGCCTTACCAAACATTTCACCACACACCTTGGCACATGTCTGCACAGGATGTCTGATAAAAATCCTCTGTACCACTTGACAGGATAATATGGATTACTGCCCAAGGTAATTTGCTTGTCTTTATGGGCTTGGATGGTCTGCTCTACAGGATTCCCAGGCTGTTTATATCTGAAGCATCTAGACATTTCAGACATATTGAAGAATGACATCCATTTAATATTAATTTCCTTTCAACACCAGGCCAGTAAAGGTCAAGAAATGGCATTCTCATCACAAAGACTTTTACCTTCTCTCTTTTGTTGTGAAGGTTCTGTATTCTAGTTCCAATCTGCTGTGTCAGATCCTGTTCATATTTGAGTGGTTGCTACACATCCCCAAAGAACAGGATACATCATTGCCCTCCCCACCCAAAAGAAGATGGCCAAAGGTGACATGGGCTTGTTGCATATGCTAGTTTGTTTGTTTAAGTGCAAAATTAGACATACTACAATTTGAATAGAAATGCAATGATTCTCACCATAGTGACCAGCTGACCTGTGTCCCTGCTCAGGCAGAACTTCTAGTAATAAATGGACAGAGTTTGCTTTTCCTCTGCCCTCTCCCCAGCTTGCTGTTTTCTTATACGGAGAGTCTGCAGAGGAATGTATACCTTTTTGCAGACCTTCTGTACCCTCTGGATCTGAATTGCTCACAAAGCTTCCAGAGGGTTTAAGATGTAGGGCTTTTCTATGAGGACACTTCTCATGTGCTCACCATTCCCTACTCACAGTTGCTTATTGGTTCTTTAGACAAGGGTGTGACCTTCCAGTTTTGCTGCTGTGTCTAAAGAGCACTTCCAGCAAGATTTTTGAAGCAGAGAACATGTGAGAGGTAATTCTAAAAGCAATAGAAACCACTTTTTGGCTGGGGCTTTTGTGCTGTCCCGCCATAGCACAGTGCCTTTTAGAGGTTACATAGCAGAAACGCCAAAAGGAAATGCCCTTAATGTAGTGTTCAGATCTCAATTTTATGAAGAAATTAAAAATAGAGCAATTTAGCAGCCAAGTAGCAGCCATGTGTAGCAAAGTTTTTCAATTCAGTCTGCTTCAGAGGCGCCCCACTTCAATTTGAGGAAGTGCCAGTTCTTTCAAACAGAGGCACCCCCCCTCCCTGCCGCCCATCAGTTCATTTGAAAGCCTGCCAATGGCCCCACATGAGATGCTCATGTGGGGCAAGTAGCCAATGTGGAGCAGGCCCTAGACCATGGGTCCTCAAACTACGGCCCATGGGACAGATCTGGCCCGCCATGCCCATTCATCTGGCCCGCACACGTGCTTGCCATGTGGGCAGGAGGTGGTGGCTTGCTCACTCGGAGATGGTTTTAGACTCGCTGGGAGATCTCCGAGCAAGCGAGCCGCCGCCGCGCATGCTGAACACCACCTCGCGCACACCCAATGATGCCTCACTGGCCCGTGTGCCCAGGCCCCCCCTCCTCACTGGCCCACACGTGTAGCCGCCGCCTTTCAATTGGCCCTCTATTGAAAAAGTTTGAGGACCCCTGCCCTTGACACTCATTGGCTGGGTGCACATGATACGGCAAAGAACTCTGCACTGTTGCCATGGTGAATAGATCTTGCCCACACTTACTGGTAAGACGTTTACATGATTCCTTGGGCTGCATGGTTTCCACTCTCCCCACTCTGTCCTCCGAGGCTCACCACCGATACCGGAAGCTGCTGCAAGCAAAATCCCTGTCCTTTCCCTATTCTGGCCTCTGGACCACAGCAGCCTCTTCCTGAGGGTCTTCTATGGTCCTGGGTTCCCTTCTCCCCTCTCCTGAGTGTACCTGCATATCTGTGGCACCTCCCAGCTGCTCAGTCCCAACAGATATTTTTTAATAAAAATATTATTTTAATTAAATAAAATAAAAAGTTTTAAACTTAAATAAAAAGTTTTGCCACAATTCCCCCATTCTTCTTCCATGTATTTTCATGCTGTCTCCTTATTTCCAAAAGTAAGGAGATGATCACAGCACTCAGACAGTGAGAATATAGGAAGCAATGGCACATCTGTTGCTATGGAGTTGAGAGCAGCAGAGATTGAAGGTTAGAAGTAGTCACTTCCATGGCTACTCTTGCCAGGAGCTTTATGGCTTTTCCATACCAACAATGGTAAAACAGTGATCTGGGATCAAGACACCCAGAGAAGCCAGGGTGAAACTCTGAAACCTTAGAATAGACCATCAATTATCTCCATGGTTACAGAAAACTGATCCTACCATACAAGAACTCCAGAACTGCATCTGAGATTTCCTGCATATGAACAATAATTTACAAGCAATTTCTTGTTTTTTTTCTATGAATTTGTATGGTGGGCATGTCATGAGTGGAACCAGCTAGAGCCAGAGGTCAGACCATCTGACTCACTCGGTTTCAATGTATTTTGTGGCACTGATTCTATTGTATTTTTAAAATGCAAAATGCTTTACCATCATTATCTCATGTCTCCACACTGAGTGTTGGTTCACACTGGCAAACACCTTCAAATGTTTGGGTTTGTGGAAAACGCTAGTATAAGAACACAGTGGCACACATGCAGTCAGCAGCCACCTCTGCGAGAACAGTTCCTGGCAAAGTAGCTGTTGGCCGTGTATCTTTACAGCCAGTTCTTCATGCAAACACTTTTTTCTCCTAACATTGATTGTGTG